GGAAAGGGGGCAGAGCACCGAGTCCCGGGAGCGGGAAAGTCGCCGAGCAGAACAGCCGGGTGGGGGGTTTTCTGGACAGTGGAAAGCAAGGCTGGGAGCTGTGTGCCTGTCTGTGTAGATGTGGCCTTTATCTGCTACAACAAATTTCTCAGGCCGGTCTGAAAAAAATATATATAAAAATATTTATCTATTGGTTGGCAATTTGAAAATATTTCTTGAGTCAACAGTGGAGTTGAGAGCATATTTTGATTATCTTCTTCATCAGTTACAGACACAAGTTTATAAATTGATCACTGTCTACTGTAGGAGCCACACTGAGTAAAGAGCTCACGGCCTGGTGAAGGAGCAGGCAGAAGAGCACAGAATGTGACAGGTGAGAGCTACGCAACAGAAACCACAGAAGTCAATATTTTCAATAATTATCAACAAAATGCTGCGCATATACTGTCAAATATCCCAAAATAAGCCATAAAAGTGAATATTTTGTCATGAAGTCACATCCCAGCACGTCCAGGTAGGTCACGTGCAAGAACAGACGCCAATCCCTGGTTGCCAGTGGAGAGCGGGGCTAGGAAGGAGCCTTCCTGCTCCGCAAGGCTCTGGTACCTCTGCCCGGTGAGGTTTTGCCTTTTTAAAGGCAAAACCGCAGCTCGAGGTGAGATGGATGCTTTGCAAGATCACCATGAAGAGTTCTCTGGGATCAGCAAGTGCTTAGAGAGGGGAAGCGCCGCGTGCGAAGGGGAAGCGTGTTCTGCCAGCCTGCATGGCCTCAGAATAAAGTGTAAAATAAACCTTTTCCTACATGTTTATTCAGGAAATACCAGCCATACAGGAATCTGGACCCCAAGACTAGATGTCCTGGGGCACTCGCAGGGTTACCGAGCCATTCTCAAGGTCACAGAGGTTTATGCCAATTGCACTTATTCCAGGTGTGATGTGAAAGGATTGAGCACATCTGCCTCTCACTGTGAGCAGAGAGCTTGGCTGGAAGCGGTGACCTCCAGATGTGCGTCTGCATCCCTGCTCCATAGGCTATGTTAGGAATGTGCTGGAGGTGCCCTGGGAGTCAGGAGATAACTGCTCCTGTGCTTCAGTGATGACTTAGCAGAGCGTTGTGGTCAATGATAATCTTATAAACCAGTGATCCAAGAAGAGTTTGTCTTGATTAGGAACTAAAATGATGTGATAATTTTTTCTATGCAAACTTGATAAGAGAGTGATCGACTCAGCAGCTTTTAAGCGTTGAAGCGTTTAAGCATACTTCACATGTTGCTGGTTCTTCTTTGCTCTGGTTATAAAGTGGAGTCCATGACATGTCTTCATGGGCTAGCCTTGGAGTAACTGTGTGCTTAGAGGAGGAGATTAGGATCAGAATATGTACCCAAAATATGGTATGGTGACATAACCCCCTCAATGGGGCAGCTACCTCTACGAGAGGATGGAGGCCCCAGGTGACTGCAGCATCAGCACCTGGAAGAGCTGGAGGCTCCGGGAAATCACAGCTGGACACTTGGGCTGTCCTCCTGGCCAGTCTGCCCTCTCCTTGCAGGACTTCCATGCCTTGCAGAGTGCCTCTGTGTCTCCAAAGGGAAAAGCCTCCCCGGAGCTTGCGGCAAGCAGCAGGAATGGTTTTGCAGACGCTGCAGAAATGTGTGGCCTGGCACCACCTTGTCACCGTGATCCAAATATGTTTAAACTAGCGAGACCTGGGGGTGTCCTGCAGCCCTCTGACAGGCCTGTGCAGCAACATCCCACTCTGCTGAGCATCGGCTGAGGAGCACTTCAGGCACGGCCGTGATGGATTTCCTGTGTCAGATGTGGAATAGCAGCTCCAATCAAATATTGCTCTTCACTGTCCTGATGAACCTGGGAATAAATCCTGTACCTGGGCTTTTCCGGCCATAACATGTAACAGCAGTAACTGGTCCCAAGATGAGCACATTTTTCCATAGGTATAGGAGGCTGCTGGAAGGCAATTTGTGTTGTTGGGAAAGAGCTGAGTTATTAATAAGTGCAATGGAGGTATCTTCTTACCCCATCCGTGTTTAAGTGAGATTTTCCTGACCACAGAAGCATATGTGTGACCACAGAAGGATATATATGACTATTGAAGTATATGTAGAATACTCATTTGAGAAGTCCTCAAGCCTGACATAGATTGTTGGTATTTTAATTTCTTTGGCTTGTGTAGTAGAAGGTAAAGATGCGCAGGAAACAAATTCTCCCCAAAGAGCAGCAAGGATGAAATGTAATTGCAGGACAGCTGAGATGTGTCTCAGCAGGAACCCCCCAACTTTTATGTTCCTGTAAATTTGTGGGATGAAGCCCCTGTCTGTCAGCTCTTGCTGCTTTAGCATCGACGTGTGCGTTAACTCTTGGCCGCGTGTCGCAGTGTGTGCCTGAGCAAGCCCAAGCGCCCTGCCCTAGGCCCTCAAGCCTGGGTTAATGCCTTGAGCGCAGCTCTTCCCGAACACACCGGCTCCCTCGGTTCTGTCCTGCTCTTGCAAGCGGCTGTTTGCGGGAGTTCTCCCCTAAAAGCAGCTCCCGTGCCCGCTTTCCCAGCCGCCTGTTGCCATCTGGCGGCAGCAGAGCCCCGTGGCCAGGCTGGGACCAGCGGCCTCCAGCAGCAAACGCTGCCCGAGGCCAAAGAAGCAGCGCTGCTGGGGCTCCTCAGCTCTTACGCCCTCAGTTTCCCATAATATCTGTCGAGTGGGATTTGCAGTGTTATTTTGAAGTGGTGGGTACCTCAGACTTGCTGTGTGCACGTGTGTGTGGGTAGAGGACGGGCTGTGGTGCAGATTCCTTCCGTCTGGTCACTCGGTTCAGCCGCCAGCAATAGTGCGACTTGCTCAGAGAGTAGAGGAGGGGAAACTCGTCCTGAACTCGGGCAGCGCTGAAGTATGTTTCTTTCCAACCCCCTTTGTCCTCGTGTTTATTTCCTGGCCATATTGGGTAAAACTGGATTTGTCCGAGATCTGGGGAGGCCCTCGCAACCAGGCCAGAAAAGCTTGGAGTTGAGATAGGTGTGGAAAGGTTTGTTCTGTGTGGAAATGAAGCCTTTTTTTTTTTTTTTCTTTCAGTTTCTGAATGCTTTGAAGTTAAAAATACCCTTCTTATTGTCTGAAATCCAAACAAACACTCATGACATGGTTCATCCCCAGCTATTCCAAACTGCTACCTTGGAAATGAAGTACATTTATGTTTCGCAAGATCTATACTTTCCTATAGTAAGACTTGTCCTCTGGTGTTCAGGACTGAAGCGGCGAGTCCTGCCCTGGGTGGGCAGAGGAGGCTCTGAGAGGCCTGGCGAGGAGCCGGGGCCGCGTTCCCGGCGTTCCCGCAATGCCTCCCTACGACCGCAGCTATAGCGGGCACAGCAGCTGCCCGGCTCTGGGATAAAGGTTGGGAACAGGCGGGCGCTTTTTTTGAAATAAGATAGCTGGAACAATAGGAGCCACTGGCTGAAACACAAGCCACGAGCAAGGCCAGGCAGAAATAAAGCCAGGGTTATGCATGGGCAAAGGGTTTTACTGAAGGATAAATGTAAATGCAGAGACTAAATAATGTTAGTGGAGGGGCTGAGCAAAACACATAAAAAAGAAAAAAAATTAAAAATCCAGCAAAAAAAAAAAAAAAAAAACACCAAGGAACCCACAGAAAGCACAAAGAATTCTCATAAGAAATAGGAAGTATAGCTGGTGTCAACCAGAGGCATAGCTTTTTGCGGAAAATCTTTTGGGAAAGAAGCTTGGATCGCTATGTAAAAATGGTTGTGTCAGGGCTTCCAGTCCAACAGCTTGTCTCCAGACAGCAGATGCCGGGGGGAAAAGTGCAAGAACAGGGCAAGCATTTAGCAATTTGTCCTCGGGACACCATCTCAGCCTCCTCTGAGTCAGGGAGATCTGTGATAGTTTGGGGGGTTGTATTTATCTTTTTTTTTTTTTTTCTTTTTTTTTTTTTGGTGGGAGAGATGTGCACAAATATCAGGCCACCATGAACTCCTGTAACACAATGCCACAACTTACTGAAGTTCTGCATGAAGAAGTGCCTGGACTTAAGCCTAGCAACTCTGCGTTTCACTTGGTGCCCTCTGCTTTTCATATTGGAAGAGTGAGTGAATCCAAAGTCTACCTCCTGCAGACCCATCTGTGTCTTACAGAGTGCACCAGAGCCCTTTCTCTCCTTGATTTCATCCTCTTATCCTCTACAGCATCTTGATTCCCAGAGTGCAGTCCACACAACAGTGAGCAGGCATCAGAGCAATAACCAACTGAGCTCAGTTTTTCCCAGGAAGGAACAAGTCCCGGATCTGGCGAGCTACTCAGGTCAAAGAGGGTAGCACGCAGCACCGTGTGTTCCATCTGGGAATGTTCTGAATGATCTCTCTGATATGCTCAGTTATTGCACAGCTAATCCTTTCTTGGTTTTATTTATTTTAACCTCAAAACACATTACGACGCAGAAGAAACGGCCTCCTGTAAACCGTAGCAGATACTCGACCGCGGAAATGCAGCGCGCTCCGCTTCCCGAGCCGCGACGGTGGCCCTCAGCTGCCGTCTCCAAAGCAGGTGGTGAAAATCAACCCGCGGCGCTCACATCCCGCCCAGCACGACGCGGCACAGCCTCCTTTCGGGAGCTCCACGGACACTCCTCCGCCTCCGAGCGCAGCCAGCAGCAGTCGGAGGATGAAGGTCCCTGCTCTCCTGCTCCTGCTCTTCTCCTCAGGTAAGCGGGTCCCAGGCATCACCTTCCACTGGCACTTGTGCTTCCCAGTGTCTAGGACCGTGGCTCTGTGTATATGTGGCATGAACAAATGTGCGCTCCCAGAACAACATGGTCTGTTTTAGCAGCACCAAGGAGGAGGAAAATACAGACTCTCTTAAATGAGAGTTTTGGAGTGCATTGGCAACAGCTAAAAATATTTGCATCTTGGAATGCCAAATATTTTCAAGTGAGATGTTTTTGTGTTTAATTGCTTTCCCGTTTGTCTTCTTTTTGCCATGCTCTCATGCTATATTTATTTCCAAATGCTGAGGGTTCTCATAAGCATGGATCAAAATGTAACATTTCATAGTGAGCATTTTCCCTGAGTTGCGGGGCTGCTGGCGAGAAGCAGAACTGATTGGCAGCTGCATGTGTTGCGCCTGGATCGGGCTTGGACCTGTCTTCTTAAGCTGTCCCTTGGAAGAGTAAGTATTTTGTGATCCTAATAATTTTCTGTGGATTTCAAGAAGTAAACTACATTTCTGCCAAGGCACACTGGAAGGTAACAATTGTGACTAATTTTAATAGGATTAATAAATCATAATAAAATGCTTAGCTTGGATAGGGTGCCGTGGTCAGGGTTTGCTTACAGGAAGCTGAGCCCTCGCTGGCAGCTGAAGCAAGAAGTGCCTGGCTGCTAAGAGTACATACGTCTACTCTCTCTCAATCACTTCCAAGTATTTTAATACCACCTAATGACAGGAAGAGGATGAGACAGAATCCTTGGCATCCCAGCTCAGCTACATGAGAGGACCTCATGACGAGTCATTTCGGAAGTAAGAGCAGATCTTGGCTTATTTTGGTGTCAGTAGCAAAATTCTTGCAATGTCAACAGCCAAGATTCAGCCTGTGGGGGAGAAAGGGCAAGGATGGGCTTTGCAAGAATGCTTGTTCCTAGGCTGGCTTTGCTTGTGTGGAAACTAATTCCTGCTGGAGTAGATATCTAAGCTCCCATGCTTTGGGCAAATGATAGTGTGCATGGCTAAAGCTGCACCCCCTCAAAGCTGCTGCTTGCTGAATTCACTCGTTGTATGCTACTTGCAAGAGTAAACCACAGTTGACAGAAAAGATGTGGGATAAGAAAATAAAACTAAAATGAAATAGGAATAATAGCTTTGATAAATATGAAGCAAACATTTGCTGCTGTTAGAAAGGAAAGGTGGTTTTCCTCTGCACACTGGGCCTAAAACGGTGGGGTTTATTGTTTCATTTGAGACAGAAAGTAAAACAAAAACATTTCAGTGGGAAAGAGAGAACAGGAAATAAAAATATAAGAACATGTTATTTCTGTCTCTCTCATCACAAGCACAGCTAGAGAGCTCCCACCCCTGGTGGGAGCTGCTGCTTTGCTTGGACTGCAGATGGGAAAGTCTGGTCTAGGCGGCACTTTCCCTAAGTGACCGAGTTTCTGGTTTGCCCGCCCTTTCATGCTAATGTTCCCAGCTGCTCCTTGGAATCAAGGGTGGAGAGGACAACGATGTTGAAAATCTCAGATATCAGTGCCTTTTACTTTGCTCAAAGGTCCAAAAATTTTGAAGGCAACTGTAGATGCAGGTGCAAGACCCTGGGGGATTTTCCTAATGCCGAATCTGAACTTCCTCCACCAGGGTTGTTATTTTTTGTCCATCTCCTGGTTGGAGATTGTTGTTGCCTTAAAGTGCCTGAAGATCAGGCAGGTGACCACCCCACTAAAGGTGATTGTGGTGCACGTGTGAAATGAGAGGGGTCACACCAGTAGCCCCAGTGTCCCCATGGGCAGTTCCTCTCTTTTCCCCCTCGCACGGGGCTGACGCCGGCCCCGCTGTCCCGCAGCCGGGCTGGGCGCCTGCTACGAGCACGAGACGCGCCTCGTCGAGGACCTCTTCAGGGACTACAACAAGGTGGTGCGCCCCGTGGAAGACCATCGCGACGCCGTCGTCGTCACCGTCGGCCTGCAGCTCATCCAGCTGATCAATGTGGTACAGTATGGGCGGGTGGTGGATTACATGGTGTCACCAAGCGGGGTCATTCCCACAGGAAATGGTCTCTCTCCCTTAATTGTGATGTTTACTGTAACTTCTTCATTCCTGCTCCCCTCTTTTCTCTTCTGTTTTTAAGGACGAAGTAAATCAGATTGTAACAACGAATGTACGTCTCAAACAGGTAACTCGAAACGTTGCTAAGCCCTTCATTCTGGTATAAATAAGCACAGTAGATGCAGCCAGGAATGAACTGCTCTGTTTTGATTCCTGAGGCAGCTTGGGCAGATGGCTCAGATAATAGAGTATTTCTTCATTCCGGACTCTTAAAAGTAAAGTCCACAGAACACTGAGATCCTTTGGAAAAGAGTTTTGCCCATGAATGTTCTTTTTCTGATACGTCAAACAGCAAGCTTCTGGTATACGTATTTTGGATTTGTTTGTTTTTAAGCCAAAATTTTAATTTGTGTAAAATACCACCTAGGGGGTAGTGTGCGTTTATGCTTATCTGTGAATCCCCAAAACAAGAGCTAAGTATTTCCAGGAAATATTAAAACTACTTCCAACCATATTGAAATGCATTCTTGTTGGTTAAAACTTTTCCCCTTTAGCAATGGACAGATGTCAACCTAAAATGGAATCCAGAAGACTACGGTGGTGTCAAAAAAATCCGCATCCCATCCGATGACATTTGGCGCCCAGACCTTGTTCTTTACAACAAGTAAGGAGTGATAACCATTTGGGAAGGAAGGGGGATCTCTGCCCTTGGTAGCAGTTCAATGAATTGGACTGGGGAATGGATGGCCGCAACCCGAGGGCTGTTTCCTGGTGTCTTTCCTTAATCCTGCTGCAGAGCAGGCTCCTCCACACGTGCAGAGCTCAGAGCTGAGTAGAGTTAGGCTTTCTCAAGACAGTCAGATTTCATGCGGGCCAGCGTATCGCATGCCTCAGAGAGGGCTTTTCCATGGGGGAGCATGGTGAGGTGGGGGAAAGGAGGTTATCCACAGCCAGGGAAATTCATTAGGGTTTATGCCTGCACTGGCAAGCAAGAAGGAGACTGCTATTTAGCAAAGAGAACAGAGCAAGAGATCTCAGGTATCAAGAGAGGACTAAGACGGTAACAGTAGGTCAATACAGAAAAGAAAGCACAGTCTCCTTTGAAAACATTTGACTGCCTGCTGACTTTGGGTCTAAAATTCCTAAGTTTTGTATCAAGTTTATCAAGTTTTATATCAAGTATATCAAGTTTTTGTATCAAGTATATCATCATAGTCCAGTTTTCTAGCCAGTTATTTCAACATGACCACTCTGCCCAGTGTCCTTCCCTCCACAACTGCTTCAGACAGCCCTCTACTGTGATGATGTTGGTCATGCTGTCCATACTGCTGCTGATGTCCTTTCTCCTTTCGCAGTGCAGATGGTGATTTTGCTATTGTTAAATACACCAAAGTCCTGTTAGAGCATACAGGCCTCATCACCTGGACCCCACCGGCTATTTTTAAAAGTTACTGTGAAATTATAGTCACACACTTCCCATTTGACGAGCAGAACTGTAGCATGAAGTTGGGCACTTGGACATATGATGGTACAGTGGTTATTATTAACCCGGTAAGCAATAATTTTGTAATTGGGGAAAGAAGTAAGGATCTGGATATAGTTTTAGGGAAATCTAAGATTTCATATGTAATTTCTTCTTATATTACTGCCTGCTTTAATTTTCTTATTTTTTGAGAGGTGGTTCTTTCTGCTCATGATTTTCCATTTACAAGGACTCTGTTCTTGTCTCCTCAGGGATGTTCCCTATCTCTATCTATTTCATCAGCCTTTCTCTTTAGTTGACTCTCCTCTCTGTAAAATATTTAGTTGAATTCTATGTAAAAGGCAATATTCTAAAGCAAAATAACATAGAAAAGAATGATTGCTTTTCTCACAAAAATGGATGAAGTGCTCAAGCTATCGATCATCCTCTTCCTAAGTGAATGCCAAGTTTTGGGTTGGTTCAGAACATCTAACATTAAGAATTTTTATTTTTGCTGCCAGGAGAGCGATCGCCCAGATCTGAGCAACTTCATGGAGAGCGGCGAGTGGGTGATGAAGGATTACCGGGGCTGGAAGCACTGGGTTTACTACGCTTGCTGCCCTGACACCCCCTACCTGGATATCACCTACCACTTCCTCATGCAGCGCCTGCCTCTCTACTTCATTGTGAACGTCATCATTCCTTGTCTGCTCTTCTCCTTCCTGACTGGGTTAGTCTTTTATCTACCCACAGATTCAGGTATGTGAATGCATTTGCTCTGATGCCATGAAAACTGATCTAACAAGTTGTTGAGAAGTTCTGAGAACTTGAAGTCGCAGCCAAATCTGGGGGCAGGAGCTGCTCAGCTCTTACTAAAAATCAAACCTTTCAGCTCACAATACTAGTTTTGAATATTCTGTAAATGAAGAGGAGGCTCTGGAAACTGAAACCACTGCTATCTAGATAAACTGGACTGATTTCCCATGGAAATCGCTGTCTGACTATTCAGTCAACTTCAGTGAAATCTGGATTGGGCTAGTTCATTTTCAAACCTTGTCCCTGGGGTGTTCAGTCTGTTAGCAGGTCACCCAGCAAGTGAGCACGTACGAGTGACTAAGGCACTTCTGCACCGTGATGGAGCCCAGAGCTGGTTCTGCTGTTTTCATGCACAAGCTCATTTGATACGGACAGTAGCTCTGTTCTCTTCTGGCTGCCCACATGTCCCTCCAGAACAGCGCTCTCCTGGAGAAAAGAACTTGCAACCATTTCCAGTGCTGCATTAATTTTTACTTTGTACTGGAAATCTGCCTTTAAACTCCTTCTGCAAAAGTCTTTCTAGAAAGTTTTCTACCAAGAAGCACATAAAGTGCAACTGGATAGATGATAGATGGGTGAATCACATCTTATAGTTTGGTTTTGACATCCGTTCTTACCGGAAGATCTCACATCTAAGTTCAGGTGTCAGATATGAGTCCGTCTGCCCACTCAGCCCAGCGTGAGTTGCCAGAGAGCGAGGCAAATGAGCCTGCAGGAGATTGGCTCCAAGGAGCGAGCACTGATCGGGTGCATACATCTCTCTGTTCAAAATCCACAGCCCGTGAAGTGATCTCAGCAAGTAAAAGCAGCAAACTTTCCACACTCATCATCTGTCTCTCAATCTAGTCATGCCCGGTGATCTATTTATTTATTTATTTAACCGTAATGCTGGAGCTGATCCTGTCTCAAGCTCGTTTGGCCCATCTAGCTACTTGCTTTGGACACTAGAAGAGATAACGGCATTCTGGGTGCACACGGATTTACATGTGCAAACAGCCATCACCCACGTCCTATTTTCTCAAACACCACCTCTATGCTGCATGATAGGAACAGCAGCAGTATCATCTTTGATTTTTTTTTTTCTTTTTTTAAATGGCAGGTGAGAAAATGACTCTCAGCATCTCTGTTCTGCTGTCCCTGACCGTGTTCCTTCTGGTCATCGTGGAACTGATTCCCTCCACGTCGAGCGCGGTGCCTCTCATTGGCAAATACATGCTGTTCACGATGGTGTTCGTCATCGCTTCCATCATCATCACGGTCATAGTCATCAACACCCACCACCGCTCCCCCAGCACCCACACCATGCCGCAGTGGGTCAGGAAGGTGAGCTGCTCGGCTCTGCGTGCTCCTGTTTTCCACTGAGTGTTTCCTTGGCAGGAATCGGGGAAGAATCATGGATAAACCTCTCTTGGCACAAGAGCTGCTGCTCACAGCTTAGCTGTGTGTCCAGGCATGCCAAGTTGCTCCTTTACCCAGCAAAATTGCCCACTGGGATAGAGCCTTGCAGGGGCTAAATGAGGTGAAACTGGGCAAAGAAATGAAAAAGAAATGGCTTTGAGTGTAGCTTGCCCACGTTACTGACCTGATGCTCCACCAGAGCGGGTGACGCTGCTGCCGGACGATGGCCAAGCTCATCCAGGCGTCCGGCTGCGGAGCGCTGGAGACAGCCGGCGGGATGAAGCTTCCCGCTTCTCAGAACACAGCTCAGCGAGAGCCACTGTCTGCTCTGTGGTTTCCATTAAATCCTGTTACTCCTCAGGCCTTGGGAAGCAGAGAGGCCCTCGCCCACCAGTAATTGGTAATTGGGCACCACAGAAAAATGGGAGGTGTGTTGTTAAACCAGAGGGGAAGGACCAAAGAGGGCCAATTAGATCATTCTTTCCTTTTTTTTTAAGCCTGCCTCTGTTCATATTAAACCATGCCATGAAAAGTAGTTTGTTTTACAGATTCTTATGCCTTCTAAGGCTGCAGTTTTCACCAGATTTGCTTTGCAGCATGAAAAACCTCCTGCAGAGGAGATACTTTGATCTGGAAGAGTCTTAGAGCCTCTATTGCTCTATGGGAAATTATTGTAAACCTGATGTGCCCCTATAACAGAAGGCTTTACAATAGCTAGGTTAAGCATAAGCAACCAAAAAAGATTCTTTGTAGCCCAAGCTTCAAGACAGCCGCGTAAGCACGGCTTACATGTTCCAAACAGGACAGAACCAATCCCAGGATGTCAGGTCACGTCGGCCCAGGGTCCAGGCTGGGCCAGAGCCTGCCCCATCTCATGGAGATGCTGGCCATGCGGTGGGGTGAAATTGTTTCCAGAAAACATATGACAGTCTGTGCACGATCCAAGCTGCCCAGGCTGTGAGATGAGGAGAGCGGCAGCGCGGAGGCGGCACGCGGGTGACGCCGTGCGAGGAGGAGCACGGGGAGCTCTCGTGTTTGCTGAGGAGCCACCACGCGGCAACTTTCTTCTGCCGCTCTGTTTTCAGGTCTTCATTGACACAATCCCAAACATCATGTTTTTCTCTACGATGAAGCGGCCATCCAGGGATAGACGAGACCAAAACACTTTCTCAGAAGATATCGATATTTCTGAAATTTCCGGGAAACCAGATCCTACGCCCGTCAATTTCTACTCCCCACTTATCAAAAACCCAGATGTGAAAAATGCTATAGAGGGAATCAAGTACATTGCGGAAACGATGAAATCAGACCAAGAATCCAATGATGTAAGGCATTTTTTGTGCATGATGCATTTCTTGCTTTTAAAATATTACATCTTATTTTTTGGCAAAATATCTATATCTCACAAAAACACTCCAGACAGAGTTTCGGCTTTAACTGGAGACAGTCTCCTCCCCCTGGCGCAGTCCACAAGGAGCCATGTATAATAGTCACAGATGGCAATTGAATCCTGGCCAAAAAAAAAAAAAAAGAAAGTAGCACTGCTGAAGTTTTCTAAATGTGATATTTGAAGCCGGGGAGATGGAGTGACTGTAACTAGCTAAAGCAGTTGGAGCAGCCTGCGGCAAGGCTCCAAAATGCATTAGGTGTTACATGCAGGCCACCTCAGGCAACCCTCTATTTCCTCTTGACAGCCAGGAGGCAAGCCCTAGGGCAAACTCAGCAGAAATAGTTATATTTAAAAAATCTTAAATGCGATTTTCCGGTTTCAGTAAGGTTTTATTTCATTATGTCTCAATACAAATAGCCCCTGCAAGCGGAGCATGTCATGAGCTACTCTGGTTACAGGCTTTTTCCATGTTGCAAGCCAAAGTAAGGATAAATGCGTGTGCAGATGCAGATAGCAGCACTCGCCAGGAAAACCTAGCTCTGTCTCATCCTGGCATGTTCGCCACAATCAATCCCCTTTTTTATTTCAGTTAATGTAGCTCACATAGCTTTTGAATGGATGATTCAGTATCAGGAGTTCATGTTTTTAAATGATGCCAGATAGATCTTGCTGAGATTCGGATGTCTAGAGACTGAAGCTAGGGAGAACATCCTCTGGGACAGTATTTAGGCCTATATTGTTGGGATAAAAAGAGGCTTTTCTTTCACAGAGCTAAAACCTAATGTCACGGTGTTTGTTCCCATGGACAAATTCCAGGAGCCTGTGAAAAAATGCTGGCTCTGGGTGACTCCAATGCCTCTCTGTAGCTAGCGTGTCACCTGCAGCCAGACTCCTTGACTCAGGGTCCCTTGGGCTTTGGTTCCTCCTGTGCTTATGAAGAGACTCTTCAGTTTAACATCACGTGCCCTCTATGGCCATAGAGCCCAGTTGTTTGGGACATCTAGGCAGCACCGATGTCGCTTCCAGATGGCTTTGAAAGACAAGTTCCTAAATAGCTGAAGCTTGTGGTTTCTGAAGAGTGAGGGTTCCCTGCATTCACCTATGAACTCCCTAACACAGCACTTGATTATCAGTGTCCTGCAGATAACCTAAAACATCCTCCCCTACCCATGGGGCAACAAAGGCAAAAGCAGAGACAGGCCGAGGCCCAAGCGCACGGCTCCCTAGGGCAGGGTTGCAAGGTGATAGTCCTGCACTTTGTCCCAAGCTGCTCTTTCTCCTGGTACCGGGATTCCACATAAACTGCTTGCTGAAAATGCTGCCTCAGAGCAAGCGCTGTGCAAATGCTCCCAAGGGGAAAAGGTGGTCCCAGACCTTAGCACCTCGAGGCTGAAAGGAAGGACTACAGCTAAACTGCGAGCTACGCGGGTACCCTCAAAACACATATTTTTGCTTTCTACTTACAGTAGAGCTCAATTTCAAAAGGAAACAACTCAACCAAAACTTAAGCTTTCTATAATTTATTTTAAATGTATAATTTATTTTAAATGTAAATCACCAAATTGTTTGGGGTTTTGAACACTTTAGTTTTGAAATTTGTATTTCTCGGCCTTTCTGAACCACTCTTCCAGTTCTGAAAAAAAAATGAGGAGGGATTTCTTTGCATGATAATGGAAATAAGAAAGAATCTTTCTATCGTTCAGGATAGGAGAATCCAAAAACATAGAACAAACAGTTCTGCGGAGGTTGTAACCATCTCCTTTCTTTCTTCCCCAGGCTGCAGAAGAGTGGAAGTTCGTTGCAATGGTGCTTGATCATCTTCTCCTCGGTATTTTTATGCTAGTTTGCATTATTGGAACATTAGCTGTCTTTGCTGGTCGCCTCATTGAATTAAATCAGCAGGGATGAACATGAAATTGGAACCGCTTGCTGCCCTAGCCAGCATCTGACACGGCCATCAAAACCTGGCCACCCTCGGGAATTTTCACAGGCAGGAACCAGTCCTCCCGGGAATGGGATAATAAAATGAAGAGTTCCATACTCAGCACATCTGAGCTGCTGCTTGGTGATTTCACTGCCAGAAAATACGGCTTTATGTTACTGGTAGACTGAATGGCTGTAAACCAGGTTTTGATCCATTTTAGCAGTTATTAAAAATGTTGATGTGTTAATAGGATTGTTCAGCTTTATAACCTGCAGGTGCACAGGTTTACCTGGCTGCCGGAAAAAGCCATGGCCTGCCCCTCTCCTCGACCTCCCTGTCCTTGCTGCAGGGGAGCGGAGGCACCGAGGTGCAGCACCCTGCGGAGCGCTGCCAGGGCAGGCTGGAGCGCAGGGATGGAGCTGGTGGAGCCCAAGGCAGCTGAGCTGCAGTGAAACGTTGAGCTGCAGCTCGCTCTCGTGGCCGATCGCAGCGTTGCTGCCGCTCTCCAAAGCCTTGAAGCAAATATTCAACACGGGCAGCAAGCCTATGTTTGTTTTAATAATGCAATATGAGAATTAAGCCACTGCTGCCTATTCTTCTCTAAAAGGGAGTGAGAGATGTGGGGCAGCTGATACCAGTCACTTGCTTTCCTAACTAGCTGTCCAGGGTAACAGGGAGATCTGTGAATAACTCGCTGGGTGTTTGATGAAATAACTTGTATTATGTTAATGCTGTCCTACAGGAGGGGTCACATCTGCAGTGACAGGGAGGAGAAATGCTCTGTAGGGCAAACTGGGGATATTTCAGTGCCTGCCGGGCTGCACTGCGTAGCGCTGGCGGGCAGCGTTTTGGTGAGCCGCACTCCTAACCATGGCCAACAGTGTGTCTAGGTCAATAGATCATCCGCAACGCTCTGCTCGGCCTTACAGTTTTGATGATGATCATCTCTGCCTCCCCGGACGATCATTACGCCTTCAAGCCGTTGCAGAAGATCTATGCTGGGCTAAACCTCTGCTGACAGCAGCAGGGCCGGCCGCAGCGCTCACCCGCAGCGCGCAGCCCCGCGATGCGGGTCCCCACGCGCCATGGGCTGGGACAGCACCCGCGACCTGCTCTGTGGGGGACCAGGGCTGGCACGGGAAGGACCGAGCAAACCCCTTAATGCATTATTGCATTGCTAAATGCGTTTAATGCATTTAATGCATTTAGCATTAGAAACAACCAGAATGTGAGGTGACGCTGTGAGCACCCACAGCACCCTCCTCCTCGGGCCTCTGCAGCACACGCAGGGCCGGTGTGGAGCCTCGCGCCCCGAGTGCCCACGCGATGCCCACGAGCCCCTCGCCAGCTCCGTGACACTCGCACGGCCTCTCTGACCTCTGCTCCAGGCTCTCCTTCCTTACAGCACCAACATTCCCTGTTATTAGGATCTGTGCGCTGAAACCCTTATTCACCCTTATTACGTAAGGACTATTCCTTCTAATTCCTTCTAATACGTATGTCTGTATATCTGTAACTAACAATTTTCTTCATATACAAATGAAAGAAGAGGATCATCCCCAAGTTTCTCTAAAAGGTGTCGGAGTGATGAATCCCCAGCACCATGAGGCAGATGTGAGTTGAACGCCTGCTGCGGGACAGGGGTGGGCAGGGGTCATTCCGGCAGGGACAGCGCTCCGAGCAGTAACTTGCCCCTCTTTTAACTGCCGACTTCTTGCTATTAAAGCGCTTCACTCTGGTCTTGTCTATAATACCCTATATATGTCCTTAACAGAACAGCTCTCTGGAACTTCTCCAGCCTATTTTTAAGTCTGAGTCTCTTTCTGATTTTTAAACAATATTGGCAATTAACTTTCCCCTTCTCGTCCCCTTTATAACCTTCAGCTACTTTTTGCTGCGCCATGGATATTTCCCTCTCAGATATGCATCCATCCCAAATCTCTCTCTCCTTTAGCACTTGCATGTTCAGGAGACCTGACCGCTCAGGGCGGGTTGTTTGCTCTGAATTTGGGTAAGTTCATTACACCATAACACTTCCAAGAGAGCATTTTCACCTCCACGTGAGTCTGCAATCAGAAGCTGCTGCTGCTGTTCTCCATAGTCGCTAGTCAGATGTGCTAAATTTCGTGGCCTTAATTCTGTCTCTTCAACTGGCTACATCTTGGCTTTGTAAAACACAGCTGAGTTGGAGCTGATCAACAGGAGGAGCATGGAAAAAGGCATTTGCTTACCTCTAAAGGCTTGGTCATGAGTTTGGATGTGCCGGATCTGATCAGTCACCACAAACCAGCGTTTGTGTCCTGAAAGCTCTTGCCCCGGACCTGATAAAGCATCTCAGCCTCAAGTACGTGGAGAATTATTGAGATTATTGTTTCCAGCAACAACTTCTCCGCTTGTCTCCGGGATATAAGTCTCCACCAAGCCCCATGCCGAGAGGTGTGAAAGCAGCACCGGTGTCATCGGCGTGCTGAGTCAGCGGCTCCTGTCTCCCCAGCCATGGGGTGCGGGAACGGGGGGGTGAAGGAAGGTGTGTGAGGCAGGGCTGCAGGGTGCATGACACTGTGCTGGTAATGGCATCCGAAGGAAGCAGATTATGCCCCAGAAAAGTTTCTTTCCTGGTATGGTGGCCAGGGAGATGTCACGGTTCAAGTCACCGTTAGTTCAGCACAACAGTAACACTCTTGGCACTAGATACATTTACAAGGTGGCTATACTGGGCTCCAGGCACAGGACCTCACTTCTTTATATGTTAACAAGGCCTAGATAAATCCTAGCACAGCTTGGCCTACGTTTGGGGTAAAAATTCTCTGCCTTTTCCCTAAAAATAGAAAGTCTGCAGCTTGTTGTAATTGTGAAATTAGTACAAAGTCTCCCAAGCTGCTGTCTGATGAATGCTTCACATCCATGGACTCCTAAGAAACCCCTGGAGTATCCCTTCCCCTTTCCGGGAATCAAAGTCCATCTGCAGCCCGGGAACCATGAACTGCTTCACACAAGATTTTGAATTGCTTCACAAGAGATTTGGACTACACTTCAACACCTGATCCGGCATGAAGGACAGTGCAGAACAAGGACGGGGCCCTTCCCGGTGCCCAACGTGCCAGGAGCCGACCCACGAGGGGACAGCAGAGGGTCCGCAGGGCGGCGCGGAGCTGCGGAGTCACCGCGATTCCCTTTCCAGCGAGGGCTGCTCTCCTCCCCTCAGCCCTGCGCCCCGGGGGGCACCAACAGGCGATGCCCCAAGTAATGCCCCAAGCACAGTGATGCAAAACCAGAGGTTTTAAATAATTTATTAACCAAAGTTTTCTCTCTTAGGTTCGGGGCAAAGGCAGCAGACTGTTGCTTGTCTGGCAAAGTGATCTCTACGTAAGTGAGCTAACTGAGGCAAGAAGGACAAATCCCTCCCGAGTTATCATGGGGGGCAGGGGGCGCATAATTGACCTTCCTGTACCTCTACAGACTGCAGATCTTAACGGAGGAGACCCCGGCACCTCCTTCCCACCGTTCAATGACACTCTCGCACTGCGGTGCCGCCTCCCCAGGCTGCGGGGCCCACGTGCTGCCCTCGAGGCCAAGGCGGGCCGTGGGGAGCAGGGGCGCTGGGGCAGCTCCGCGGGCGGCAGCCGCGCTCCGAGCACAGGCTGCTCCAAGGCCTTGGGGACCGTTCTCTCCCAGGAGGATGGAATGATGCGGGGAGGATGAGGCAGTGCACGGGCCGTGTTTCACTGGCACAACTCGCTGCCGTGGGCCCTCGCGGAGGCCGAGGGGCTGCCAGCAGCCACTGACACAGGCAACGACCTGGGCGAGCAGCGCAGAGCCCCCGCACAGCTCAGCGCACAGCATAGCTCAGCACGCAGCGCCCCCCATCCCTCCCGCCGCGTCCTGGGGTG